ATCGGAGTAAGGAGCGATGAGCGTGAGTGGTCCCTTCATGTGTTCCATGTAGGCGGCCGGCCCGAGGTTGATGCCAACACGCAGCTGAAAAAGAACAGTTCGCTCATCTTGACGTTCCATCAGTTTAGTTATACTTTACTAATTATACTTGGGTAATTTATGTGTTCGATAATTGTGCACCAAACTCCTAGATGGAGGTTAAGCTTGCATAGTCACTTTCAATCAAATTCTCATAAAAACTTTCCTCTTAGGCCAAAACTGTCAAGCCTTGAATATCACACATACAAGGCACCAAGTAAAATGAATAGCATTTAAATTCCATGTGAGGACCGCAACCTTTGTAATCTCCTGGGGGGAGGTAACTTTAGTGATAAGGTGTCACAGAAAATCTCTCAATTTTTCAATGCATTTATTTTAAAGTCAGGTAGGCTAAGTGATGTTTAGATGAGCACCTTGCAGTGCTGTATATATGGATGCATGATAGAATTGTTAATGCATGGCAACTGCTGATATATGTTTCGATTTAGCAAGTAGATCATCTAGGTTTTTTTCAATATTATTATAATTCTGTATATATTTCTATTGTTATTATTATTATTATTATTATTATTACTGTTTTTGTTTAATAAAGGTTGTTATATTAGCAGCCCTTACTTATCTAAATTACATTAGCAGTAACTCATTATATTTACTAATATATGTTCCCTGTAAACTTCTACCCAATCCTGTACTGAGCTTACATCAGCCTACCTCACAAGATGGCAGCAATTAATTTCATATTCAAAGAAGCTGAAAACAACAAGCTATAAGCTCTCAGGCCCAACGCTCATCCATCTGGTAGACCTGCGGCTTTAAGTCCACTCCAAGTGGACACCCTGCAAAGAAGAAGAAGAAGCTCCTCTAATTGGCATTATTATAAATGTTGAATGAGACGAGCAGTACCATTCTATGCAGTCTATTAGGAACAGTACTTTAGCTCAGACTCTCAATTTCATGTACCAAAACTACCATTGTAAAGACTGTTACAGCTTGCCTGCTAATCAGTTTCTAATTTTTGCTCCTTCAGAGTAAAGTCTGCTGGAGTTGTTTTCTTCTCTGTACACTGCACAGCAGCTATCTTAAGTCACTACTTTCTTCACCAACTGTTCATAAGAAGCTTCAGACTGTGCTACTTAGGCTAGACTTTCAGTAATTTGTACAAACTCATTTGAGACGCAGTTTAGGGCATGCTAGTAGCAACTAAATTAGGTTGAAATATGATCTCTCCATATCTCTGAATTATTCTGTATGATTTTTTGCTTGAAACACATTATATACAATATCTCAATTTATGATCAATTTTCCTACATCAATGAATTGTTATGTATTATATTTGCATCAAACATTCTTTGTCCCATTAATGTATTATTTCTGAAGAATACTTTTACTGTACCTTATAGATTGAGTTACGGTATATGCCCGCAGCCTTGTGCATGGAGACTACATTGAGCCATTAATTCATCTGAGGGGACACAAGGGCGGATCTTTGGGGCCCACATAAAGTACCAATTGAAAGAAACTATGGCAAATATAATTCACAACCCGGCTATGGGGCTCATTGGACTGGGCTTCCTAGGCTGATGCAAATTATGAATGAAAAAAAATATTGGCATATGATTTGGTTATGCTAATTACCTAGTTCTATGGAATTGCCACAGTCTGTGCAACAAATTGAGCAACTTTACACTAACTGTAGGTATACATCTGAGGCTGTCTGCGGTGGTGGATGAGGGAACATCATTGTAAGAGGCAAAGACAAAGACTGACTCCTCCACAGGACTGTCCCACAGTGTCATGTCCACTTGACAGTGTTAAAATATAATGTAATTCAATCAATGATCGTAAAGCTCCAAAGCATGACCATTAGGTACGCCACTGCTAGCTCAGTGCTGCTGAATGCTTGATATTGACACTAATAACTTTCGTTTTGAATTTCATCATGACAATTGTTGGGCCATTTATTTTTTTATGGTTTAAATGTCTTAAAATTACTCCTTCCATTGTTTTATTCCAGGAAATCTTGTAAAGCATGATATGATCTAGAGCAATATCAAAATAATTTTACCATGACAAGTTTAATACATCAGAGGTTATGTGTGCATGCCTATAGCCAATCTTTATATCGATTTTCTCAATGTTTGTCCACATCTTCTTGGGCCAATGTGCCGAAAGTTTGTGTCATAGGCACTGGTCCTGCCGGCTTCTACACAGCAATGAAACTCGTCAAAGTAAGTCATAAAAAATATATTGCCTATAAGATGAACAGCATTTAATAAAATTTGATTCTTTGTTCATTAAAACTTGATGTTGCTGTGTGAAAATGATAATCAATTGGAATCTGTTACAGTTACACAATATAAAAAACTTGCCTCCTGAAATCATCTCCAGTGCATGGCTACTTAGATTCCAAGTACTTTGCTTTGTTTTCATTGCTTTTCTTTTCTTTCATCTAATTATTTGTTGCAGGACCACCCCAGTGTATGTGTTGACATGTATGAGAAGCTTGCTGTCCCTTATGGTCTGGTGCGCTATGGAGTTGCACCTGATCATCCAGAAGTCAAGAACTGCATAAACCAGTTCACATCTGTGGCCAATAAGGATCGCTGTTCTTTTCTTGGCAATGTTACCATTGGAAAAGATGTTACAGTTCCAGAACTGAGGAATAATTATGATGCTGTTGTGGTTGTGAGTATTTATTATTATATACCTCCCACATTAACATAATTATTAAGTAATTGTATACAACTTGGTTCAAGAGTCCTATTGATATTAGTTGCTGTATGAAAATTTTAATTTTCCCATAGAATCATCAGTGTGAATGGGTTCATCAGTGAGTGAATATTTACAATATATTAAAAACATTTCTATTTAAAGTTAGTGTAGTACCTAATTTTCATTCATGTTCTTCTTACAGTCTATACATTCCAATGATTGTACTGAAATTCTCTGTAACTAACATTCAATAATTTAGTTCTCAAACTGAGTTAGGGATTGATACTCATTTTTAAATATTTGAACTTATTATACATTATTTATATTTTTTGGCAAGTTTTTAATTTTTTCTTACATCTCGAACTTTTTCTCTATTTGCCGCTATATTTTTTCTATTTGTTTGGAGTTACAGCTTGAAAGCAGCAGGAGCTGCATGTTTGGCTGAATATACCTCACGTTCATTCTAATGGCAGGCAAGTGGTGCATGGGAAGACAGGAAGCTCAACATAGCTGGCGAGGAAGAGGTGATATCAGCACGACGATTGGTTGGCTGGTACAATGGTCTACCCCAGGACAGCTGGCTTAAGCCTGCCCTCCACAAAACTGAGCACGCTGTGGTCATTGGCCAAGGCAATGTTGCGCTAGATGTGGCCAGAATACTCTTGTCTCCAATAGATCGACTTAAAGTGAGTTTTTGTTGTTGTTCCAATCATTGTTATTTTTACTGCAGTTGTTTGGAGAATTGATTTTATGATGAAATATTATATGTCTTGAAATTTGCAGCTTGGCTCAGGGTTTCAAAGTATTTCAACAATCATGTCACAGTAAATAGGCCATGTATGATCAATGTTGGATTTTTTTTAACTTGGTGTTATTTTCAATTCAATATCATCTCTTCTCATGATAATTGCAATGCGTTCCAGAATTTGGACATCCCAGAAGCTGTTTTGTCTCAGCTGAGTAAGAGCAAAGTACGACGTGTTACGCTTATTGGGAGGCGAGGACCTCAACACGTTGCTTTTACTGTCAAAGAGCTCAGGGAAATGACCAAACTTGACGGCTTAACTTATGATATTTTAAGAAAAGACTGTGAGAACCTCCCTGATATTATCAAAAGTAAGTCATCTGCTTGTATTAATTTTTTTTAATTTTGCTAGTGCTTAGAAACAAAAATTTGTCACCATGGCTTCAGGCTGTTGAATTTTGTCGAGTATAACATATTATATGTAGCCAATTTTCAATCAAATTGCTAATGCCTCAATGCCTCTCAGATGCTGACCGGTCCAGGCGACGTTTGTTAGAGTTGGTGCACCAGTGCAGTGAGAACGCCCAGTCACTTGACAGAAATTTACGCTTGTGGGCTCTGCGCTTCCTCAGGTCTCCGATATCCGTCCAGTCTCAGGAGGGAACTGTCACCGGCCTCACTCTCGCTATTAATAGGTAGCTAGTTCTGAATTGTTCTTCTATCTTGAGTTTCAATATTTTCTAATTCTGTCATTTCATGATTTATGAATGATGTCATATTATGCTCTTCTTTGTTTTTCACTGATTTTTAGAAAGAAAACTAGTAGACAGTTGATCATATAGTGTTTAATTATTGAATCTGTAACATTATGCAAAGGGAATATGTTTTCCAAATGAAGCTCCTCAACGTTTTGAAGATGATGCTAACTTTTAATTAAATATCACAAGTTTGATCTATTAAATCCAATTTGGTTCAAACTTTTCAAAATTAAAATAGGTAGGTAACAATTTATTTCTCTGCTAGTGTCTTCGAAGTTTGAAGGCAGGGCAATACAGTATCTGCAATCAAACTGTGAAACTTCCATCTAATTTGCATTGAGGTCGACTCTGCAAGCGATACTATACACAGTATTTAGTTACCCTATATTTTTCATTTGCTGAGGAAGAACTTCTAGTATTACTTCACTGGTGCAGTGGTCTTCTATTTGGTAAAATTCTTGTGAATAATTTGAATCTTAAATCGACAATGCAACAGTAAGTTAGTAATGTGAGTTAATAAATTTCCTCCCTGTCTCTAGATTAGAGAGCAATAAAGCTGTGACCACGGGAGATGAAGAGGAGTTGGCGTGCGACATGGTGATCCGCTCCGTGGGGTACATGGGCACCAAGTTTGACCCCTCGCTCCCTTATAGAGAAGATACTGGCACCATCGACAATGTCAATAGCAGAGTCACTGGCTTGCCTGGTGTGTGTACAATTATCTTGCCCATTTTGCTTTATGATAACTAATTTAATATGTTATGAACCTAGAAAGCTACAGCAGGAAAAGTTTACCAACCTTCTATGTGCATAATTTTCCATAAGGTATAACCAAAATTTAGTTACTATCAATAATCTGCTACCAACAACCTGCAATTGTTAAATTTGGAAAGAAAAAAAATGCCGTTTTTTCAGGAAATATTCCAGGAAAGATTAGAGTGTGCATTTTCATCCGCGTGCCATTAAAAGATTTTATTTGTTACAATACCAATGACATTTACTTATCATTGGCTTTACATTTGACGTTCCCGTCTGAATTCATCACTTAACTTTGATCTGATGGTAGAGTCGTTAAAGGGATCATCATACTGACATTCAATTTATTTAACTTTGTTTCAGAAGTAAGCAAGATTTGTTGTGATGTAGATTTCATCTGATGATCCATTTTATACATTTTAAAATATTACTTTTTGATCACAGAAGGACAAATGCAATCAAAAGATTTAAATGTTCATTTATTTATTCCGTTCCTTCGAATTTGTATGCTATCTCATCTCATGATTAAATGTCATTATTCTCTTCATGACATTTAACCTTGAGGTGAGATAAGATACAAATTCGAAAGAATGGACTAAATAAATTGATATCTGAATCTTTTGATTGTATATGTTCTTGCAAAAATGAAGTAGTTCAAATGTAAGTAGTTTTACAATTGAATCGTTTTTGCTAATTTTTACATGAACTTTTTTAGGATACACATTAAGGAGTTCTCCACATTAATGAGTTCTACACTTTAACGAGTTCTACATATTAATGAGTTCTCCACATTAATGACTTCTACACATTAATGAGTTCTACACACTAATGACTTCTACATATTAATGAGTTCTACACATTAATGAGTTCTCCACATTAAATGAATTCACACATTAATAAGTTCACATATTAATGAGTTCTACACATTAATGAGTTGTCCATGTTTCAGGCGTGTACGCAACAGGCTGGGCAGGATCAGGCCCCGTAGGAGTGATAGCAAGCACCATGACCCAGAGCTTCCAGTGCGCCAAGACGATATTGGCTGACCTGCCTGCTCTCCACGTCCTCCCTGGCAAACCTGGCAAGGACGGCATCCTACCGCTCCTTCAGAGTCGGGGTGTGTTCACTCTTAACCACGGAAGCTAAGAAATTCAGTGTATCTGTGTGGATTCTCATTGTTGAAATTTGACTTTATTTCTGGGTTAAGTGGAACAGAAGCGTATTGCTTCTACTCAAGCCCTCTACCGCCATTTGTCACTCTCCGGAAACATAATTTTCCGCTTAAATTATACATAAGCTGTTGAGTGTAGCAACATGAGGACGATTGTACGCAACAGAGAGCATTTTAAAGTTGCCATACGTGTAGGCAACCATCAGTGCAAGTCATTTTGCGCTCACTAGAACGTATCCTTTTTGCGAAATAGGCTTGTGACAATATTGCTGCGGTTACTCATGTCAGGCGGTAGAGNAATACAATTGTGAGTCAATACTTAGGCAGTGGTTCAATACAATTGTGAGTCAATACTTAGGCAGTGGTTCAATACAATTGTGAGTCAATACTTTGGCAGTGGTTCAATACAATTGTGAGTCAATACTTAGGCAGTGGTTCAATTGTAATGTGAGTCAATACGTTGGCAGCGGTTCAGTACAATTGTGAGTCAATACTCAAGACGTGGTATAAAATACAACTTTATTCCATATTACCAGCCTAGTACATTTAGAGCCACAACATCGACTTAGTTATGTAGAGTAACTAGTGAACAACGCAAGGTTTGTTTGTATTCAGGAATATCGAAGGCATTTATAGGTAGAATTTATTTGTATATTGAAACAGCAGATGTTCTTTATTTATTTATTTATTGAAGAAAAGTGTTTACCCCGATGGCTTGAGGAAAAGTTCCACATTGGAAGCTTCAGTACTGCGACAGAACGTTCAGGACTTCATTGTAGACCAACTCGTCGGCGTTGATGGCCCTGAGGGAATAAGTGGAAGTTATTTTAAACACTCGAAATCATCCAATCTTTATCCTAACTTAATTAATTCTTTGTAATGGGAAGCAAATACATTAAGTCAACCTCAATTCCTCTGAACGAATTAATCATTATTTTTACTTTTCTTTCCAATATATATATCAAATTTGATCATAAATCATTTTATATTAAGTGATGAATGTAGCATTTATATTTTCTTCCTTTGATAAATAATTGTTGTGTCAATAAGCTTAGATCTGCGAATTACGCTCCTGTTATATTTTATCACGGAATAACCTCGGCCTTGCACTCGCATTTCTAGGATTTTTAAAGTACACACTTGCCGAGTTGTGATATCTTGATAGATTTATTTAATAAATTATTAAGCAAACACGGACTTGTGCTTTGGACCCATCTCCCTAATTCAGTTTGTAAGATATGTTCACATAAATATTGAAATTTTTAGAGCTAATATAAATACTCCGCTGTAGAAAATAACCGGACTGCATTTCATCGAACTCTATCAACTTTTGACAGCAATATTTTCACTTCTTTCAACCTACGTCTACTTTGACGCATAACTTCTGAAGTAGTTTGGAGCATATACATTTTTACAAAAAACCTAATAACTTATGTGAACTCTGCAAGGCAGAGAAATGACGCAAGAACAAATTGAACTCACCAGACGAAGTCGAGGTGATTGAACATATCGAAGGGAACTCTGTAGTTAAGGATGACGTTCGGGAGCTCGGTTGCCAGCCGTGCCACATCCTGCCGCATCAAGGACAAAACTAATTGTCTAGATCATCATGATTAATTTAATTGTTGTGTCAGAAGTTATAACTAGACAAGGCCATGCAGGAGCTTATGTTTAGTCTTAAAACGTCTCGGTATCCTACGGAACAACTGAAATCTAGAAGCGATTTTAAATCTATCGTCCGTTGAAAAGATTTGATCAAAAGACCAGTCTAGCCAAGAAAAGTACAAGAATCGGCGACAGGCCTACCCAGACCTATTCTTCAATGCCGAAGATACTATACTATAAGTTATTACAGTATAAAGATCGGTTGACGAATATATGAAGATTTTCTTCTGTTTTTCAAAAGTATCGCCATTTTTAACTAAAAAATCTCAGCACGAAGGAGCCTGCGAACCTCTGGAGTAGCGAGCCAGTCGTTGGCGCCCCAGAAGAGCGCCGTTGGGGTAACCACGTTGTCGAGGTTGAAGGCGGGCGGGGTTGTCTGGCCGTAGTGGTTCTGGTTGCCAAGTGCCCCGTAGTCGTACTTAGTAAAGTTCGCTGCTCACGAGAGTGTCGAATATTTTTTTAATCCAATTCAAAATTTAAAACAACGACTATATGGTCCAGGTTTCTTGTGATCTGTAACAAATTTGACCGTTACTATCTAGAATATGTTCAGTTGAATATTAAAACAAAACTTTTCATAGTAGAATATGAACATATTATCGCTCAGGGAATTGATAGGGCATCATTCTCTTTTTTGTCATCATTCTCTCTCCAAAACTATGATCACTGCTATTGCCCCGTGCTATCGCAAGCGCTAGTAAACCTTCTGCTACTACTATACTACTGCTTCTACTACTGCTGGCTCCGTACATTAACATTCACGTACTGGAGACGTAGAGCTGAGCGTAGTGGTTGACGGTGTGTACGGAGGTGCCGGCAGGAGTATGGGCCAGGATCACGGGAAGATATTCCTGCTCAACACATTAAGTTTTTCTTCATTAACTCGGCAATGATTTCATCTATCTTGCTCACAAATCGTGGGTTACGTAGACAATTTCGCATGAAATTAAGTTAATAGTACGCCGGCACTATTTAACGTGTGCTAGCATCCATTAATTACATTTTCTAGATTCAAAAACGAGGACCAACATTAGAAACCCCATAACAAAGAGAAAACATTTTCAAATCGCAAATAAATCTCTGGTTTCTGATTAAATTGAAAAAGTTTATTCCATGCCTGACTTCAATTTTCCCAGTATGAAAATTGCTGGAGACTGTTTCCAATGAAGGTAAATCGAGGTAATTGAGGTAAAACTTTTATGTTTTACATAAAAATACTTTTATGTTATGTTAAAACATTGAACGACAAGTAAACTAATATCAAAATTATTAGAACAAAACACGAAGTCACAGAGTAAGTTACCATATTTTGTTTGTGACATGAACTATAGTTATCTTAGCTTGAAGTTCAGATAACTTTTTTCCAATCAAATGAGAATGTTTAGTAGCCCCAACACGTCACCTCATTAAGAAAAGCGTTAAGTAGCTCCAGCACGCCACAGTGAGGAGAACGCTAAGTAGCCCTAGCACGTCACCTTATTAAGATGAGCGTTAAGTAACTCCAGCACGCCACAATAAAAAAACGCTAAGTAGTAGCCCCAACACGTAACCTCATTAAGAAGAGCGTTAAGTAACTCCAGCACGCCACATTGAGGAAAACGCTAAGTAGCCCTAACACGTAACCTCATTAAGAAGAGCGTTAAGTAACTCTAGCACGCCACATTGAGGAAAACGCTAAGTAGCCCTAACACGTCACCTCATTAAGAAGAGAGTTAAGTAGCTCCAGCACGCCACAGTGAGGAGAACGCTAAGTAGCCCTAACACGTCACCTCATCAAGAAAAGCGTTAATTAAGTAGCTCCAGCACGCCACAGTGAGGAGAACGCTAAGTAGTCCTAACACGTCACCTAATTAAGAAGAGCGTTAAGTAACTCTAGCACGCCACAGTAAGGAGAACGCTAAGTAGCTCCTGCACGTCACCTCATTAAGAAGCTCAGAGTCAGGCCCTGCGATGAGGAAGAGGACGTTGTAGCAGATCTCTGCCGAGATCATTTCGTCGTCACAATACTTCTCGACCCACTCGTCCGTCACGTCCCGACTTGGCAGAAATTCACCTTTGCCAAGCAGTGTCATCAGAGTCTGTGGTGAGTGAACGAAATTAGCCTTTAGAAGAGTGGTCCGTCGTGGTGACAATCTATTACCCATTTAATTATGTCGTGACAACAGGTCTCATCAATACAGTGTATCAGGCTTTGGGTGTTATTGCACTCTGTAAATTACTTTTCAAAGCATTAGAAGGAATTGAATTCTGATATTAATTGTGATTTGGCCCAGCATATACTTTTGAAATTATTTGAATAAAGGTAAAATTTGCAAATGCAAATCATTTCTCGCTTTTGATTTACCATTTTTATATTAAAAGCTATGCGTTTGAATTCAGTATGGAGTTCAAAGTTGCTTGTTTAAATTGCTGAGATGAATTTAAAGTCTCGCGCGTTTAAATTTTTGTCATATAATTAATGACACATTAATTATTAGAGTAAGAGAATCTCACGTCGAAGTCATCGGAGTAAGGAGCGATGAGCGTGAGTGGTCCCTTCATGTGTTCCATGTAGGCGGCCGGCCCGAGGTTGATGCCAACACGCAGCTGAAAAAGAAATTCAGCAACTCACCTTGCTGTTACTTCAGCAACTCACCTTGCTGTTACTTCAGCAACTCACCTTGCTGTTACTTCAGCAATTCACCTTGTTGTCGCTTCAGCAAGTCACCTTGCTGTTACTTCAGCAACTAACCTTGTTGTCACTTCAGCAACTCATCTTGCTGTCACTTCAGCAAGTCACCTTGCTGTCACTTCAGCAAGTCACCTTGCTGTTACTTCAGCAACTAACCTTGCTGTCACTTCAGCAACTCACCTTGCTGTTACTTCAGCAACTCACCTTGCTGTCACTTCAGCAAGTCACCTTGCCGTCACTTCAGCAACTCACCTTGCTGTCACTTCAGCAACTCACCTTGCTGTTGTATTCAGGCTTCTCACTGAGCATGGCGTAGTAGGTTGTGGTGCCCATGCTGAAGCCGACGTAGTAGAGGTCAGGTTGTCCGGTGAACTCCAAGACGTAGTCAATCATAGCCGGTAGATCAATTATTCCCATTTCGTCCCATCTGTCGAAATATGTTATTTATCTAATGTTTATTTCTTGAATTTTGAGAAAATGCCTTATATTCGTAATGAATATCGAGGTATTTATGTGAAGTAAAATGAAGCTTAGACAATGTCGCAATGGAAAATGGATTCCAATTGATTTTTGAAAGGCAAACATGAATATTACTATAATTTCCCGCGGTTGTTTAAGATGCCCAGAGTGATGCCCAGGGTCTACAAATGAGTAAGCCCTGAAGCTGAAACGTTTCAGCTTCATGTAAAAACCATAACGTTTTTTTTTAGTTCAAACGTTTCAGCTGAAAAATGAATGAGCCCTGAAATTAAAACCATTCATGATTTTTTTCATGACTTTTCAGAATGCTCAAAATTAAAAAGTTACTTTACGACTGCTCTCTTAGGATACCGATCTCGCAAATTTCTGTTGTTCAATAGTATCAATACGAGGTTGTTTATATGAACTTACGAAAAGGACCAGAATGAGAGATCTTCGTCGGGGTCGAGGGTGGTGTGGTTGCGAGAGTAGGTGTTGCCGCGGTAGTTGCCCATCCACACGTCATACCCGGCGTCAGCCAAAATATACGCTAACCAAACAAACAATAATTTCAAAATATTAGGCACAACTGCAAATTTTATCTCAGTAATAAGTCAAACACATGCAACGCTTATATTCGTGGAATTGCATGCTTGATTCACGCTTGGTATGCTAGAACATTTACCTTCTAGAAATGACATATCACAAACACCCGAGAAGAGTGTCCTTTGTCTGTTCTTCAAGTTCCGCCTCGTTTGAAGGACAAGAAAAGAGGAGAAATTTCCGAACAGTTGCATATACTTACCAAGAGCTTTGTCAGGGTCGTTCATGATCCAGTCGGAGGAGGAACAGAGCAGGCAGTGCTGCAGGTAAGCAACAGGTCGCACTCCCCCATCACTGCCGCTGATACCGTACGGGATGCGGTGCAGCTCTAGGATGTAGCCGTCCTCTGTGGTCACGTGGTGGATCTCAGCTGTGTAGCCCATAGCTTCTATCAGCTCAGTCTGCATTCGAAGTATAAAACACAAATTTATGGGCTACAGTGACTTTTTTCTTGTTTGAAAATTACGGTGTCAATCCAATTCATGCGGAAATAAGTTTTTGAAAATTTGTGACTGCCATTTGCCCACCCACCGTGGTGAGGTTGGCTCCTGCTGGATGACTCCTCAGGTCTGCTGCAGACGAAGACGTTGCCAACAGCAACAGCAACGAGATCCCGACTAAGGCATTCATCTTGGGTTACTTTCCTGTCGCTGTAAAGAATATAATAAATATTGAATAATTATTTGAAAGATTTGCCTATATACTGAACAAGGGTTAGAACCAGAAATCAAATTTTTTGTGAATCAATAAAACCAAAATTCTGGTGTAAAACAAAAAGGTATAAAATTATAGACCATCAACTTTACAGAATTTAATAAATTCCTGTTTCTTATAAATGCGTGTTAATAGTTTTGGTAAAAAGTAGAATATGAACAGCCAAAGCCTGTCACGATCAATAAATTTATGCAATAAAAACTTTTATAATGGCTGTCGTTTTCCAATTTTTTTAATGTTTAAATCAACAGAGTAAAATTTACTTATGTGCTAAGCATCGTTATGCCTCACCTGCGAGTCTCCAAGTAATGCTCAAGGTTACCTGCTTCTCGCTATGTACATGAGCGAGCCCCACCAGGTGGATCGATCGTACCACCAAAGGTGTTGTCAAGTGAACTATTTTTGCAACATGCATGCGCGCTTCACACGCTGATAAGAAACCAAATCACTCTAGTGAGAGTGTTTCCCAAGATTTCCCATGTTCATTCTTGTAAATAACATTTGAACGCTGGGCTATTGTTACCAGCCCTGGCAACATCGATGTATGTTAGATACTCCAAGAAGAAGCACAAGGAATAATTGCTGTTTATTAGTCGGTGGGAATTCTGGCTTGTGCTATTCGTTATCTAAGTTAGCTAAAGACTTCGTACGATTCAGACCCATTTTGCAAGAATATTTATGCTAGAAAAACAAAGATGACAGCACTCGTTTTTACCCAGCAATGCAGTGAAGCATCAGATGTTTTCACCTGATAAATAAGCGCAGGCGAGTGAAAAAATCTGACAAGTGATAAGCGAATCAACAGCAACACGACTCATTAAATGCACATTTGTAAATATTAATTATGAAGGTTACCCGTTAATCAACTTGCATTTTTCAAATATCTGCTTCACCAAATCACTACTTTTCACTCAGTTTTGGAGTACATTTACATTTTTGAAATTGCGTGTTGCTCAATTACCTTCAATATAAGAAACTTTTTTCGAATAAAATTTGTCAATTACACACACATACACACATACAAATTTGGCAGGCTCTTTTGGGTCGCCTGCCGAAGACCACTGCACTGCCCTGGATGTAATGGACCATCATGATTCCTGCCTTCCGGAACGTAGCCTTAAACACTTCAAGCTGTCCGTATCTCGGCCGTGGGTCGAACCAGCCCTCGGTCGAACGGCCACTTGTCGAAGGACGATAAATTTTGGAACAGAACTATGCTATCTGAAACCTAACCTCAGATGCGGTGAACGTAAAATCACGTAATTTAACGATGCCCGTAAGTCAGATTCGATCCGCGGCCTGGTGGTGCACGGCAGGTGGTGGTCAAGGCCGGAAAAGGACAAAGCCGAGTGGTGCACGGCTGATTGGTGTAGGTACGGAGAGATCCATGGCGTTCGATTCAGGGTTTATTGGTGCACAAAATTGGTGGTGCACGGCTGCGCTCCCGGCTCTTTTCGTCATTGCACAATCGAATTTAAATAAGGATATAGATCATTCATAGCATATATAAACTCCATCGAGACGGATGCCATCGTAACGTACGTAATTTAATTCATGATTTACATCGCTCGATATGGAGCGAGCTTTCACTAAACTAAAACATCTAATCCATAATAGTGTATCGACAAACTTTCTATTAAGTTCTTAAGTTTCAATCCAATCTGTATGATTCGGAAATGAAGAAAAGTTAACTACTCATACTCATTCATTAAGTATAATGATTTGATTTCAATGAGCCAATATGAAGGTGCGATTGACAAAAGCACTGGTCAATTCACAGTTTATTTATCATGATGAAGGGTGTAACTAAAATACGTGTATGAATATTCAGAGTTTTTTTTAGAGGCTATGAAGGGCATGAAAGAGAACTGTCGTGTCGAGTCAATTTATTCCAGTATAGAGTACATGATTATGCGAGTATGTTGTTATGCTGCTTTGCTTTGGGCTTCGTTGCAAGGTTTTGCGTGTAAATATTCGAATTCAGCGTTAATACAGCCATGAAGGATATCATTTTGATTACTTCTTTTTTTAGGGATCTTATCGAAGCCATGCATTACCTATCCTGCACTCCTGTGCTCAGTTATTCTAGTGATCAGATTTAGTTCAGTTTATGTATACGTTAGTGTTACCAGTTCTGTCGTTCAATAATGTGCTTCGTTCTGTAATAAACTGGTTCGTTGACGTAATTCATTTTACCCTCGGCACGCAAGATAGAAACATGAAAAACATCATCATGCAGGACGATTGGCCGACGCTCCAGTCCATCAGTACTGAGCCATGACAGAGAGAACTTCGTTGTAGACAAGCTCGTCCGCGCTGATGGCCCTACAACACCACATGCCGCATCAAAATAAATTGTAGGAAATTCGAAGCTAAAGTGGTATAAATATGATATACGGACAGAAATGAAAATTTTAATGGGCATTGAAGAAAGCTAAATTTTTTAATAGAAGAAAGCTAAATGGCATAATGAGTTGAACACGGTTTTTCATCCCTATTCTCATAAATCAAGTCCTGTGGAAAAAATTCTAGTTGAAAACTTCAATCTACAGCATAGCCCTTCATAAACTTTGCAAATAAATTTGAATTAAACTTCTGTTTTTCACAACATTTACATTTAAATTGTTTAATAACCTATAATAAATTCGAAGTTAATTTTTAATAACCTTATATTTTTTAATACCTCATGATTCCACCGCTAAACTGCAATTTCAGGCCCAGGTAATCTGCTGATGGGCATTGCGGATGCGAGCCCGAACAGCCCCTAGACTCGTAATCCTTTACGCCAGGCTTCCAAAACACAAAATTTTATCAATATTTATAAGATATTAGAAGCTAGTGACGAGTAAAAAACCTTACCATATAAAGTCGATGTGATTGAACTTGTCGAATGGCACCCGATAATTGTGGACGAGATTAGGTAACTCAGTCACCAAACGGGCAACGTCCTGTTCAAAAAATTGAAGTGATGCTTTGAAACAATGTGGGGAAAAATTCATATTATGGATTGATACATAAATTTCTAATGTAATTTATTAGTCATTCTTTTTTCAGAGGAAAGATTTATAAATCAACTATATATTAAGGATAAAGGTATCGCTTTACGCAAATTAGTTTCGTGTCTCTACTTCATTTATGTAGAAATTACATAAATGCCTAGCATAGCACACGGCCAAATAGAAATAAATTTGATTATTAAAGTTAAAATTTATGACCAGACAACATTATCGGCGTCAGTAACGATGTTTCATTCATAATGGATTACTAAAATATTCGGAAACAATTTATGATAAAAAATATACCGCTATTTTTTTGTGCTCTGTTTTTCTTGTGATTAATTTTACATTAATTAATATTCTCAGAAACGTTGTAATTAACATTCTTGTCGTTAGTCATTTGTGTATCATTCTTCACTAAAAATGTTTCGAAAAGTAAATTATTAAAATCTTAGCACGCCGGTTGGTCAGACCTCAGGAGTGGCGAGCCAGTCGTTGGGGCCCCAGAAGAGCGCCGTGGGGGCGGTGACGTGGCTGAGGTTGTAGGCGGGGGGTGTGGGCTGCCCGTAGTGGTTTTGGTTGCCTAGTGGGCCCCAGTTGTACTTCGTGAACAATGCTGCACAAAAATACAATGAATTTTATACAGAGCGAAAATTGAAAGACTTCTGGAAACCGAAATAGTGAACGCCGACAATATTGGCCATAGGACATTTTACGGGATTTGGACATTTCGATTCTTAACATTCAAATTATTTTTCTTTAAATTGGCAGCAACTAAATGAGGTCCATTTTGTTTTTGAGGTAAAGATATTTGGAATTTTGAAAATAAGGACAAATCGTAGATAAACATATAGTTTATAGATGATCGAATGACACATGATGAAGCGAGACATAGTAAGGCATACTGTCGTACTGGACACGTAGAGCTGAGCGTAGTGGACGGGCGTGTGGACTGAAGTTCCAGCCGGAGAGTGAGCCAGGATCACGGGTAAGTATTCCTGTTAACAGTATATGCGAATAAAATCCTCATTGGTGTCTTAATTATCTAAGGGTAAATTGAGTTGAGCAATAATTGTCATTACTTGCAGTAGTGATCACATCAAAAGCCCACAGTACGTTGAAAATATACTAAATAATATCATGCATTAATTTTTCACGCTTCTTAGCTCGTATAAACTAGAAACGATCCGTCATCGAGCTGCTTCGTCGATTAATGCTTCTGGTGAACCTTGACCATCAACAAGCTTGTGGTCAATACTTTCTGGTGTTGAAACGCCTACATCTCCGTAGACTCTGAAAGGTCCACGAATACGACTGCCTGCCATCATTACTAATACCGGGGACCAACAAGCATGAGGATTTTGTAGAAACGTAACGTGAAATGGGACTAAATTAAACCCTTTTAATTTTTGTTCGAGGATTCAGAAAAAAAAATTTTTGATCTTGCTTTCTTCTGAAGACGATGCATTCACGAGCCCAAAAGAGCATTTCAGGTGCACAAGGTGCACAAGGAATAATTTAACATTACCTTCATATTCATAAAGTAAATTATAAATTATTAAACAACTTTCATGAGTAACCCAATCCCCACAAACTATTAACAAGTCCACAAATACGACTGTCAGACTTCATGTTGTTTTTGTTGTTGTTGTAATTGCCCATCCTGGTAGTGGCGACTAGGGAGGGGGGGTGATAGGTCAGTTTTTCACGGCATCCGGTACCACTGGTAGTTCTACGACCATCACTGGCTCGATGACTCGCCAGAACCATTTTTATTGCATTACACAACACCCTGGACAAGCCAGGTACTCATTTATCAACAAGAGTTGGATGAATGGCTGAGTTGACCATGAGCTGTGCTTCCCGGCAGAACTTTTCCTCAGTAGGACTCGAACCCGGGCGCTGGGTGCGAGAGACAGAGTCTCTCACCACTGCACCACCACAGTCAGACTTCATAGTTTAAACTGGTGAACATGGCAGATTTTACTGGGACCTCATTGAGAAGCTCGGAGTCAGGCCCGGCGATGACGAAGAGAAGGTTGTAGCAGGTGTTGGCTGTAGCAGCCTCATCGTCGCACACCGCAGCGAACCACTCGTCGGTCACGTCGCGACTTGGCAAGAATTCTCCTTTGCCCAACAAATTCATGACTGTCTGTTTGATGACATTTATTAATTTTTGCATCAACCATTTCTATTTATTAAACATGACTGTCTGTTTGATGACATTTATTGATATCTTGCATCAATCATTTCTATATAATGAATATAAAACGTTGCACGGTGAAAATATCAATAACACGATGCGCTAAAATCTAACAATGATCACTGGCCAACAGGCATTACTATATTCTTATAATATATTAATAATTATAATAATTAGGCTCTTTATTACGATTAAGGAAGGGATAACTAGTAATATTTCCGTTAAAAATCAACAATCAGATCTACGCAGAATTTATTAATTGCATTGAGCGAACTTCTGTACTTACATCGATGTCGTTGGCGTAAGGCGCAATGAGCGTCAGGGCTCCCTTCATGTGTTCCATGTAGACGGGAGGGGCCAAACAGATTGCGATCCGAAGCTGGATGGCAAACAGAGACAAGCATATTTATTACAAATTTCAGAATCAATTATTACAGATCAATTAAGTTTCAGTGATGGTTGAGTTGAACGAATTCCAACAGACATACGAACTCGGTCAACTATGAAACGCAAGCGCGAAACGCAACATTTCTGCATGATGCTTCAGATTCAGACCTCTAAACTAGTGAGAATAAATAATTATTGATAAATGAATAATTCACATCATTTTTGATCTCTTATAATTTTTTTCCGAATGTTCATCAAACAGTTTCATTAACTTTGGTTCGTAGCTCACCTTGCTGCTGTACTCCGGCCTTTCGCTTAGGAAGGCAAAGTAGGTTGTGGTGCCCATGCTGAAGCCTACGTAGTAGAGATCAGGTTGTCCGGTGAACTCCAAGACGTAGTCAATCATCGCCGGTATGTCAAAGGTACCCATTTCGTTCCAGCTGAAATCAAAATTTCAATTTGTGTTTTGTTCCTGTCTTCTCCATATTTTGCTTGAAAAATGGAGTCCATACTAATTTCACTTAAGGAAAATGGAAATTGTGTTTGAGATTAGTTCGTGACTGGTTAACTCAACTGATCAATGGACTATAAAAATACATTTAGAATAGTTTTCTCACGTGAAGGACCAGAATTCTAGATCTTCGTTGGGGTCGAGGGTGGTGTGGTTGCGGGAGTAGGTGTTACCTCTGAAGTTGCCCATCCACACGTCATACCCGGCGTCAGCCAACATGTACCCTATAAGAAGGCATGTGATATACAATAATACACGAGCAATAAAAATATTTAGGCCAAAAAAAGAAGTGCCGTGAAAAATTTAGGCATCCTGAACGGATCATTTAAAATCAGAATATTGTCCGTCTTGATGAAACAGACAACTCATTCACGCTTTCCAAAATTATGCCTTTTTCAAAATAACCAATCAACGAAACAAGTCTCTTGAAACTCGAATTCCGTAGTTATACATAAATATATTATAAAAATTCGCAATCGTAAAAGCCACTACAAGTCAGACCCAGGGCTCGTTGAGGCGTGTTCATGAGCCAGTCCGCAGAAGAGCTAAGCAGGCCGTGCTGCATGAGGGCGACAGGTCGCAGTCCTCCGGTGTCGCCGGCCACGCCGTACGGAATACGGTGCAGCTCCAGGATGTAGCCGTCCTCCGTGACCACGTGGTGAACCTCGGCAGGATATCCCGCAGCCTCTATCAGTTCTGGCTGCAGAACAAGCGAGGATTTTGAAGTCAAGGAAGACATAATAGACACAACAAACAAAAATTCAGGTTCAATTAATATATGTAAATTCGTGAACTTTTACAAGCTGCATGAAGCAAGCTTCCGTCCTATTCAACATAAATTAGGAAGATGAATTTATGAAGAAAGCCTTTTGAATGATGACAAGTTATATTTTTAATAAAATAAATTTAATAATTTTAGTACCGTAGTGAGGTTGACTCCGTCTGGGTGGCTCCTCAGCATATGTGCCGACGATGACGTCGCCATGAATAGCAACAGAAACGCGATGTTGACTGAAGGCTTCATCTTGCTTTACTTGAAACCTGACATCAAGGATATTATGGCCCTAGTTATTCTCTTTTCCATATGAACATCGTGCCAAATTATATATACTGTGTCAATTAATCATTTGCACCCATGTGACATCATAAAAACAGCAATAACTATCCAGATAAACAAAGTCTCAACTACTAAATATCATTAATAATATGGTTTTCCTCTAAAATGATGCAGAGACAGTATTACTCACCTCTCCGCTCACAAAACAATGAAATTGACATTTAAGTTATCACACATGAGCGTGTTTACAGAGCGAGAGCAGCTGCTGCATCCCATAATTTATCACGGCGGAGTAAAAATAGAAATACTCGAGATTTACTTTCATTCTCGAAATGCTACCTATGTATAGAGGCAATCAAAAAATTCTCAGTTGCATGATGTGCAATATTAATATAAGTTGCATTGAGCCGTGCGAGGTCTACGTTAATTTTAAATGTTGTTTGCTTTATGTTCATTAAGTAAATGATTAAACAACTTTCATAAGGAAATGAGACTTATTGTCACAGCCTTCGCTACAAAAATATGGGAAATTGTTCCTTCTTTTCATATGTTATTTGGATTTAAAGCGGTTGCAATTAAACAAATAAGTTAAAGGAGTAAAATGACATATCACGTGATAAAAAGAAAAAATTTATTGAACAGATCGAATACATCATTTTGACGGCTTCGAAAACATGCGCATACATTTTGTAAGAGAACCGCTACTCGTTATCACGAAGACATGAGAAGTTAGTTGCCCGTCATTACACTGCGATGCAGAAGTCTACATCCGAGGAATAATATAGGATTTTTTCAGCATTAAAATCAATTAAGATCAGTGCCCCTTCATATCAATATCAAATTAATGCAGAAAGATATGAATATATGTGAATAGTTCCAGATTTTTTAAATTCCTCAGAGGACTATGAACGGAAGCATACGATTTTAAATAATATATATGGCAGAAGATAAACATGACAGCTTCGCATGAAATTTGAGTTGAAATACAGTGGAACTGCAACTATTACTGGAATCGGAATCAAATGAACTGAAAGGGAATAATGGAGTTTTTCAAACTGGCCAGTGGCTAGCACTACTAGATTTTTACTCTATTAATATTAATAGATCTAAATGTAAGAGTTACATTAATCTCTTTCTGATCAATTGTAGTCGTTGAGGACGCGCACCACGTCCTTGTAGACGAGAGTCGGCGCGTTCTTGCCCCTGGAGAAAATAAAATACAACTCCTGATATGTCACGGTTATATAACATGGGATATTATAAACATAAAATATTATAAACATAGAATTCAACACTTGAACAGTAGAAAAAGATAGAAACTGGCAATCATTAAATTTGGTTCTATTACGCAATCGTACCAGAATCCAACTTTAATGTAACATCAACCAATTTCCAAGTTTATAATACAATTATGCCAACGAAAAATTAACAAGTAATGGAGCTCCCATGAGAAATCAGTAATGGAACAAAGAACCTAAAATAAAATTAAGATGTGTCAAATTTAGACACTTTAAATTAATGAATAACTACCATTACGGTGTTGTCAGTAAAACATGATTTCGGGAAATAATTTTTCAAAACACAACATATAGGTAGCGTCGACGAAATTGGAAGTTTCGCATTCCCAAGCGTCTCAAAGCGTCAAAGAGAAGAGAAACTTACCACAAGAAGTCCAGGTGATTGTAGGGGGGATCTTGTATTTTTTTCTCGAATACAACGTTTGGCAATTCCTTCCTGAGTCGAGCGACATCCTGATGGCAAATTCATGTAAAAACATTCACAAAGGAGAATAATGCCACATAGTTAATTAATATTCTTTGGCTCTTTATACAAATACGGAATACATTCAAATGTAAGTAAAATTTGAAGACTGTACAGACATTAAAACAAAGCATTCAAGATGAAACGATCTCAAATCCAAAAAGATCCGCTGAACAAAATGTCAAAGAATTATAGGATATTTTGAAGCGGCCATAAAATCCTAAGCTGACGACAATCGGGGCTTCAAATCTTTTTAATTGCCAATCGCAATCAGTCCAAATTCACTTGCTGCAAAAAGCAAGCTAGCGAAAGATCAAACTTGAGTAAACATTCGCTTACCTTAGGAGCGGCCAGATAGTCGCCAGCGCCGGAGAAGAGTGCGATGGGAAGCTTGAGTTTCTTAGGCTCGTACTTGGGTGGCGTGCGTTGACCGTAATGTGCCTGGTTGTTGGCGTGGGTGCCGTAGTCAAACATCCGGAAGTCTCCTGAAAAACCGTACGCGTAGTTATGCGTAAAAGCTAAGATAAGGTAAAGTAAATTCAAAATATCTTTTCATTTGGCCTGACTAATGATACAAGTACGCGTAGTTATATCGACTTGAAAACTCGAGTGAAAATGATCAAAGATTTATAAACTCATCTTCAGTAACAAGCTGAAATGAAACACGTTGTGTAGAATTAATTTAAAAGAAAATACTTTTCCGTTATCCAAGTGGTGAATTCAAACTCAAATAACCCTGAGTCACATGCAATAGTTACCTCTACTGAAACTTTTATATCGATCTCACAGGTACCTAAATCGTTTTTTCTTTGTGCTACCATATAGCGAACAATCATGAATCACTCGCCAAAGTATGAAATAAGTTACTAAATATTTCTAGAAAGCAATCAAATCTGTACGTTTGAATGTGCTTTGCAAAAAAACTTAGCAGGCATGGCTTTACCGGACAGTACGAGCTGCGCGTAGTGCAGGAGCGTGTGCAGCGACGCTCCTGATGGCGTCTCGACCAGGGCGATCGGCAGGCACTCCTGGGGTTAAATTGCATCAGGGAATTTATTATATTAATTCAACAGATTTTAATCTGAAGTATGTGAAAAATTAACAACTTTATTTGGAATTATAATGAATTTATAATTTTCTTTGAGCTATAATACAGCAGAAAAATAAATGTATCTGGATATTCCACTATGTAGGTGCGGGTGCTTATAATTTGGATTGTCACACAAACCTTCCCTAAGTGACAAACTCGGCAATTTGCCCGACAATTCAACATTAATTGAAATTACTCTCAAATTTTCTTATTTAAATCATGTCCATCAAAAGGGCAAGATTTAAGTTCTGGGAAAAACGTATTCAGACTAGAGGAAAGTAAGTAAAGAGTTTTATTCCTCAAAGTAAATCTACAAATTGCGACAATTTCATCCATAAATTAAGAATTAATAAGCCTGCCACAGCCGCATGACATGAAGAGAGAAACAAAGTAAGCGTTAACGACAAAAATTAAATTTAAGACAATTTCGAACGCTGTAGTAAAAACTATCACTCAGTACTCACGGCACTGAGTGAAAAAAGCGCATTTTCTTGTCGACGAAACCGTTTAAGTCACGGACGGACAGTCGGACAGACAGACGGACATGACGAGCACAATCGCGCCTTTATTTCCATAAATGAGAAAATGCGCTAAAAATTTTAACTATTGATGAAACGAATATCGACGAAAATTAAGTATAATCATCACCTATATACCCTCTACAATCATCTAGTTTAGGAGGAAGAAAGTCCACCACAAAGGTTCAGAACCAGTTAGGCATGGTTGAATTAATACTAATTCGAAATTAATATCAATTCAACCATGCCAGTTAGGTATCTGTACCCGGTGCTACTCACCTCATCAAACTCGCGGTGGTCGGGGCCCACCACGTAGGAAAGCATCGAGATGCAGATGCCCATCTGGGGCGAGTATGGGTCGCCGCAAAACTCGCTCACTTGGTCGTCCATGTCGTCGCCCCCAGCAAACAAGTAGTGCACCCCCAGCAGGTGCAAGCCGAGCTGCATATACTAAACCATGAATAACAATACCTCAGTATAAATTAAAGACTGCCACTTAATATATTTAAATATATGAAAAAATCAAAAAAATCGAAAAAATAAAAAAAATCATGATTTCTTTATAAAAAATCAAGTGATTTAATCACATGATTTAATCATTTTGATTTAATCATTGCCAACCCTGGTAAAAATATTACACAACTAATGAAATTGTGTTAGTTGCGTAATTAAGCGAGAGAGCCCATGATAATCTCGGCCACTGAAACTTAGATAAGCTTGGGGATGTGTTACTACTCCACTGAGCAGTCTTCGTGGAATAGATTCAATTATAAATCTAATAATTTTCTTTTGATTATTGATGAACGAAAGAACAAAACGGTTTGTGCTAACCTCCCAACATTTGTAAGGGATGACGTTAAGAAGATTAAAACGTGGCGTTGGAGTAGATTGAAAAATTAGACACAAAATTAGGTCAATTTCGTTAATTATAATTGAAATTATTTTGAAATTAAAGAAAACTTTGGCATAGAAATTAAATCTTGAAACTTGTTTTCGGTGATATTTGTTCAAATCGACTGGCTCTGGAGGCGAATAGTTTTACATTGTTCACATCGTACCATAATAACTTGTTAGTAGTTGACATAAAAACCACATATACTGTATGTCCAGAGTAATACTTTAAAATATGCATATATATAAATACACATGTATGTAAATATGTACTGTATATATGTAGTTACACGTGTTTCAACATATGTAAATATGTATATATATAATTACACACGTTTCTACATATGTAATGTAGAAACATGCGTTACAATAGTTACATCGATGTGCTCAGCTCGAGGTGCGAAGGCTTTAGCGAAGCCCTTGACGTGCGAGAGGTAAGCGACCGGCGCCATGGCTGTCATCACCTTCACCTGCCATGAGGGGGAAACGTATTTGAAATTGAAATTCAATACATTAAATCGCACGTCAATCCTTGCAATGACAACATCTTTGGCCCAGTGGTTACAGTTCAGAGTACCAGGATTGGCGCAGAGAGGTGCGGGTTCGATCCCAGCTCTGGGCGCCAGTTTCTGGTCAGAATCGGCAAGGAGGCCGGGCGGTTAAGCACAGCAGAATTGAAGCAGTGAGTTGCGAGTTCGAGACCGCAAAATGCTGTGAATGTTCTGCGATATTAAGAATCGGTGACAGGCTAACGGCCTAATAAACGCTGAAACCGTTATTATTTATATTATTATGTGTAACGATTAAAAAGACAACGACATTCTTCATTGAAATAATTACACATCATTATCGTCTATAATTTTACACAGTTAAAATAATTGTTAATATGGTGCAAGAAGCGAGTTATTGTAAAGTGGCCTAGTCAGTTTTTGCTGCTAAACAAAAATTCAATTCGAAATCATTCATAAATTTTTCAACATCAAGTCTCAACGCCTGTGATTTGAGTGAGCTCGATCTACTAAGAAAAATTGTCGTTATCTTTAATGAAGCAAATTTGCAAAAAAGGAACAAAATGTTCTTACTTCGGGTTAAGGGCATCTTGCTCATGTACACCGGCTTCTCGCTCATGGCTGATAGTAATAAAAGCACAACTCCTTAATTTATTATTTAGTACTCTTACCTTGCTCATGTACTCCGGCTTCTCGCTCATGGCGGCAAAGAAGACGGTGGTGCCCATGCTGAAGCCGACGTAGCTGAGCTGCTCTTGGCCCACAAAGTCCAGGATGTAGTCAATGGAAGCAGGCACGTCGTGTGCAGCTATCTGGTCCCAGCTGTAAACATGAGTTCATCTTGATGCATAATCAATTCTATTTTCCATCATTGTTCAACATAAATACAAGCGTGACTAATATGGAATTTCCGAGCGTTATTGTACACTTACGCAACGTGTGTTGTTTATTGTTAATCACTTTTCACAATAATACTACAAAATAAAAAATTACAAATGTATAGATTAATTTGATGAATGTAACCAAAAAATAAAATACACATCAACTAGGTCTGTTTCTAATCTCAATCTTCCGTTCCACATAATGCAACTCATAGAAGTAAAACCTGCTAAGTTCCTTAAATCAATAGGACTGTAGGTACAAACAAATCAAGTACCGTTCACTGACTTGTTCCGAGTTCAAATGTCCTCGCAACGATAAGAGTTCCAAGTAATTCTTCGTCAAAAAATCTAGCAAGAAATTATCTATCTCTGGAGATTTGGTCATATTAGTTATGGGAATGCTATTGTTTACTCACGAGAACTTCCAATATTCCTCTTTTTCTGGGTCGAGTGATACGTGGGACCGAGAATATTGGTTGCCGCGGCAGTTGGCCATCCAAACATCGTACCCGGCGTCCGCCAATATGAACGCTAGGGGGCAAGAGCAAGTGAAATAGACCAGCAGAGAAACAATAACCACAGAGATTTTCAATTAGATGTAATAATTTCGATGTCCCTAAAAATAAACGTCCACTGATTATGTGACTAAAAACTCAGATGATATATTTACGTATCGTACTCTGTTCAACCTAATGTTGCTTATCTAAGCTCTCCTCGTTCAGAAGTAGCTCTAAATTATCAAACATTGGCATTTTTGATCGGAGTTATCACGAAAATCTATGGATACCGGAAACAGGATTGCGATGGTATATATAAGATAGGCTAGCAGCGAATAATATTTAGTACCGAGAGCTTTGTCGGGGTCATTAATGATGAAGTCAGCTGATGACGAAGTGAGCCCATGATGCATAAAGACGACGGGACGGGTGACGTTTTCAGATCCGTTCTCCTTGGTTTTATTATTTGCGAAGTTGGGACCTTCGGATGAAGAAAGTCCACTGTCAATGTGGTTGATGCCGTAAGGGATGCGGTGCAGAGAGAGGATGTATCCGTCGTCTGTCACTACGGGGTGTATTTCAACAGGGTAACCTTGCAGCTGGATCAGGTCTGGCTGTTGATGAAAACAATCGGGATTCATGCAAGGAATAAGGCCCCATGAGTGTTGAAGAAATAAATGTCGTTTCATTGGATATGATCTAAATATCGTGAAATTTTAGTCAGAATTGAAAGCCTTGTTAATTCTCAAGGGTCAATTATGAACTCTAGACTTGTGTAGAAAAGTTTTTCCCACTCTGAGGCGATATAAATAAGAAAATAGTGAAGCCTATCTCAAATTATCTAATTTCTTCGTAGACATATAAACAATCGCTATATTCATTTATAGCCTATATATCACCCGCAACGCCAGACAAGTTTCGGGAGAATATTGATTTAATCGTATTACGGGGTTTGATAGTTTATATTAATATCAAACATCAATTAATATAAAATATTAATCAAGTGTTCTACCGTATTGACGCGGTCGTAGACTTACCACAGAAGGCGAGTGGTTGTAAGTAGGCCTAGATATGCGGAGGCTGGGGGGGCCATCCCTGCTGCAGGTGGCTAGCACCTGCAGCAGCTGCAGCAGCACGCTTGTGTCCGCCATTCCTGCCTCCAATAACGTCTTGGCCTCTGAAGATATGAACACAAAAAATGATCAAAGCTAATAAAAGAAAGAAAATATAACTCAGTACTCACTGCAGTGAATGACAGAGAGCGCATTTTCTGGTCGACGAAAACTTGAGGTCACGGACGGACGGACTGACAGACAGACAGACAGACAGACACGGCGAGCACAATAGTGCATTTTTTCATTAATGAGAAAATGCGCTAAAAATGTGAAATGTCTATTGCCTGCTGATCCATATACAAGTGATGTTTTCGAAAGTTTACAAATAATGTTTTCGAAAGTTCAAGTGCGAACTACTTTCTAGTGATCAGTATGTACAAGAATGCAAATAGACCACAAGAACGGCACAAGAAACATACGAAGCACATATCCGGAGCTACTTCATACCGTAAATTCTAGCAAGACGCAGTCCGATCCAAAGTACCGTGAAGAAATGGTGAACAGACAGCGTTTTACACGTCAATTATATAAAGTAGACATTCAAATCCGGGATAAACATGTGCTGCGTTCACACGCGGACGATAACATAGGCCTGGTAAGCCTAACTGTAGGAAAGAAATGAGCTGCCCAAGCGGAACAGAAACTGGCATAGCTACACGTACAGCTGACGCCGAGATAACGTATGTAAGGGCTTTTAGCATCTTCCGATGTAAATATTTCAATTGAAAGGAATAAGTGGATAACCTGGTGTTGTGGGAAAAACGCTCATCAGCGTTATCGACTTAGATTGCTTGCTTCACACACATTGCTGACGCGGTATTATATTTGTATCCTATTGGACAAGTTTCGCTAGCCTACTCCGATTCACTTGAAATTTTTCGTAAATTCGAATTTTCCGAATCAGACTCAAGATTGTCTAAATTATTATGCAATTATATCAGAGATCATAAAATAGCTAATTGAGGCAAAACCACAAATGGAATTAATGGTAACGCTGATAATGTTCAGCGTATTGCAGCAGCGGGTGCGTTGCGTGTATAATGTTCAGCGTATTACAGCAGCGGGTGCGTTGCGTGTATAATGTTCAGCGTATTACAGCAACTGGTGCGATGCGTGTATAATGTTCAGCGTATTACAGCAGCTGGTGCGTTGCGTGTATAATGTTCAGCGTATTGCAGCAACTGGTGCGTTGCGTGTATAATGTTCAGCGTATTGCAGCAGCTGGTGCGTTGCGTGTATAATGTTCAGCGTATTGCAGCAGCTGGTGCGTTGCGTGTATAATGTTCAGCGTATTGCAGCAGCTGGTGCGTTGAGTGTATAATGTTCAGCGTATTGCAGCAGCTGGTGCGTTGCGTGTATGTTTTATCTTATCAGAGCAGGTGGTTCGTTACGTGCACGTAATCTATTGAAATGGGGAATTATTTATAGGACGTGTTTTCCAGTTGGAATGAATGAGCTATTTAGGAGGTAATACTAATTTTAAAAGCTCACCCGAACAAACCAAATGAAATTTATCAGCAGAAAATATGATTAATTATAAATCACACTCAATAATAAGAATTTTATGAATTGATGGCTAATGGTAATCTGGAAAAAATTCTACATTTTTAGTTTGTAGTATAATCTATAAGTTGAAGAAAACAACTCGAAAATATAGATTTAGAATAAAATGGTTTTTGCGTTTGTTCTCCAAGAGCAACGTTTCAAAAAATACAATAAAAAAATTAATCACAACAGTGCCGTCATTACTGTTCACCCAAGTTTCATCGAAAAAAAATATTATTGAATGTACTAGCACCATTTCGCCACCAATTTATCGAATAATTATTGTTAGCAACACGAACTATTCTTATTCCTATGACCAACTGAAATGTACTCATGTTGTCAGATGATAATTAGCCGGATAATTCGCCTTTTAGACTCCGAACAATATTCATCGTCTTCCCAATATACAGAAAGACTAACTTAATGGATATTATTTTTTTAACTAGTTTGCATCTAACGAGGCACGGACATAGTTGTGGAAACATAACATTACTGCGCTGGCGATTTCCGAGCTGCCAGATGGTTTTAAGAAAACGGCCAAATCAGCTTGAAAGAAACTAAAACGATCCCAATTTTATTGTAATATTTAGATTTGGAATTTTCGGTATTCTAATTCTCTTTTCAGTGCATCTTATACCTTTAAAAATTTAGATTCAGGAAGGGCCTCTTAGATTGAAAGTCCGCCAATAAAGTTTAGAAATATCACCGCTCCAAGTCTAAACGTTTGTTTCATTAAGAAACTTCGTCCTTCAGCCAGCGGTTTTATTGACAATTTTAAATAATATAAATGCTTTGCGCCAATCTCACGATTCCGAAAATGGCGAGAGAGCAGCTCCATTTGTTTTGTTAACAAGTAGATATTTCCCACTCCGAAGGTCATAATTAAAATCAATACATTGATAAATAGAACACCAGAATCTATTGATCATGCCATCGGAGGTTTCACTTTTGAAACCCTGAAGATATTGAAAAAGTCAAATATAATTACAGGAATCACTGCTAAAGTACAGTCAGCACTCATTCGAGTACACGAAAAAGTCTCGGCCCGCTTAGACAAAAAACGAGCAAATAGTTCGTGTTTAGCAGCCCATGCCATGCACTGTTGCCACCCGGACACGAATATTTTCGCGGCCATTTTTTGAGAATATAAAATAAAATATCTTGGGGGGGGCCTGTGATTTGAGTCCAGGACAAGCAATGCAATAAATAAAAGTAGAACAATTAAAACGTCGCAATTTTTAAAATAATGCTTATACTGAACAAAAGGAAGCATACATTTTTGCCTGCCAACTCAAATGAAAGACAGTCAAAATCGGTGAATTTGGCCTGAAAGATTTTAAGGATTTCAAGCAGGGCTATGAAATTGTTTAATTTAGATGGCACTAATGTGCACTCTACTCTTAGTCATGAATAGATCATTGCGGTACAGAATGTAGACCTTATTCAATTTACATACACCAGAGCAAACCTTGAAGTTTAAAAACTAATAAAAAAATCTGGCGAATATTCTTTCGCTACTTCTGGCATGTCGTGCAGATCTCTCGGAAATAATGTTAATGCTTCTGGCTGTCATGCGCTCGCTTTGTCGTTCAGACACATTGGTAGGTGAAAGATGTTCAACTTTTCACGAAAATGATCAGTTTGAAGGAGTTGAATGAAATTATTACAACATTCTCTGGAATCTACCATGACGTAAAACAAAGCGCATCGGTGAGAAGGTAAATACTACAAAATATCCCCCATAGCGACGGGATATCATGATTAGACCACCAATACTGCCTCTTTAGATGCTGCCTACCTACGAAATTGTCCTCGATTATTGTCTAAAAAATCATTTATTAACGAGTCCAGAAAATATTCCTTTTCGTCCGTCGGTTCATGTGCAATACATGTGCAGCATCCAGCAAAATTTGTCTGCAAAATCGTCGAGGCTGAAAATAGCGGATCCAGTCTACGGAGGCCTGCGAACTTCCCGTGCAATGAGGAAGTGTGAATGGAACCAGGGTCAGCGCTCGTCCGGCTGGTCACACACCACCATTCACAAAACGAGCCTCGTATTTCCTACTAGACCAGCCCATATTACGGCCAGGGTTACGATAGAATAACTGGGCTACGAGGTCACATGAGAGACGTAAGCAAGCCAGGGGCGCACTCTTAAGTTTGGGTTGGAAGCCTCGTATGTTAATGACAACAAAGTTCTTCCTGAGATTCAATGGAATATAAATAAATAAAAGGGCTGAATCAGAAAGTACAATCATCAGTGATGACAGACGTATGATCTTTCCATAAAACTACATTGAATGCGTAACATTTTTGCCAATTCATTTCAAATAAGATAGATACTACACATGGTTTTAAATGCTCATCATTTAAGATAGGTAATTCAGAATGTTTTACCTATTCACATCGACTGCGATAGATAATCTTCCATTTTTCCTTCAAAAAATCAGGAAAAAATGCAGAGTCGCCCGTTATGACAACCCTGCCAGAGGTAGAGACGTTATACGATGAAAATTGTTGAAACAATTTTTGAAGTGTATTATATGAGAAGCTTATTGAATTTGACCTTCATTACAGCTTTCATTTTTCAAAATCTCTCTTGGTATTTAGATGCACATCGAAATTCAGTCAATTTTTCACATGTATCATTTTCTCTACATCACTTTCCTTTGACCGTGCACCTATATATTCAAATGTGTGCATTTTCTAACCGGCTTTAATTATAACTTTTACTATCAAGAAATTTTAATCATCATTTCTATTTAGTGCGATCAGCATGCATTCCTGTACGCTTAAAATGGTTAAACCAATCGTTGCTACTTTTGAACAGCAAATAGTTTTTCAAAACTTATAGATTTGAACTACACTGGATATAGCATTAAACGAAACAGTTCCCTCGAGCGCAGTCACTCTTCGTAAGATTATACCACAGCATTCACCAATTCATTAAATCTACGACAGAAATTTCCGCACGATAATATAATGCTTATATATTGATTTATCATAAACAAAACCTCCACTGTTTCTAATACCGTTTGGGATGAACACGTTAACCTTGCTAATAATTCGATAACAAATTACTAGAACAATAATTATTAGCATTGAACGAAGAGCTAGCTGCCCATCGGTCATTGTAGGAACCGTTATAGAGCTGCGAGGAGATATTAGGTAACAAAAAATTGGATTTAATAAAGAAAATATGAAAAAATCAGCTGGATTTGAATCACAATCAGTGCGAGTTCATCTTCGGGAAATCTAAGCGATGCATGCATGCATCATTGAAGGAATATCATTCAATAAGATTCATTCGATATCTTAACATGAAAAATGGTTCTACGTGAATTGCGAAATAATTTACTGAATTCAATATATTCATTTTCTCACTTTGAATAAATCCTAGGAAGTCTTTTTAAGAAAACTTCCCAATTTTTCACCTATGTTCCTGATAGAAGATCCTTCAAGGAAAGGCATACAAAGCATTTCGGTCTTTCTTATGTCGGTCAGTGAAAGGAAATGTACGGGAAATTCCAACCAGTGGTGAAACTCTTGTGATAGGAATTACGTGTGTTGCTCCCAAGTCAATAATCAATATTTCAGGAATGTCAAATGATGAGAATTGTTGAATTATCAACCATTGTTATATTATTTAAAGCCTATCATCAAGAAAATTTATCTTAGTGAAACTTACTGAAATGATGAACTTTCAAGGCCACTATCATCTTGAATTTTATTATCCCTAAGGTTTTCTCAACGGTTAAGTAAAGCCCAGAAGAAAATGCGACATAGAATGTATTGTAACAATTTTTATGTTAAGAGTTAGAGCCCAACACTTCAGGTAATTGACTGCATGATAGCAACACGAGGAAAATGGACTACACAAAGCACTTCAAGTTGGACGACATTGCCGGAACTAAACTATAAGGGGCCAAACTCGACAT